TCAATTAAACACAATTTTCAAATAAACTTCAAGAACATGAACAATGCAAATTCAACACATGCATGGGTTCCTTAAAACTCCAATGTTGTAAAACAAGATCAAATGTAAGATTTAACTTCAAAACATGGTGAGTTCATGGGCTATAACAAAAATGTGGACATGCATACAAGAATTTCTATGAAAACAACCTCAACCTTTAAGATATACACATGCATACATTATTTAAGCTTCAATTCAACTCATTAAGCCAATTCTAGACTCAACTCACTAAACTTCCATGAACCATGCAATATATGACTTAATTTAACAATTAAGAGGATAAATTCCATACCTAGGTTCCTCAATTACAAGAATGAGAGCTCAATTATGCAATTAACCTTCAATATCTTCAAGTCTCCAAGTTAAGTTTGATGAATTCAAGCCTATCCTCCTACTCTCTCTCTCTCTCTCTCTCTCTCAATCGGTTTGCTCTAGGAAATGGCTGAGGAATGTTGTATCAAAGTGTAATAGGCTTCAAACATGAATTGATAAGTGACCCACTATCATGACATTTTGGTGAATAAGTCCAACTCTTGTAAATTAGTATTATTTAATCCAATTTAAACATACCAAATCACATTTTAACTAAATATATCATAAAATTACATAAATTCCAATTAGCATAAAACGTTAATCAATTTCAGATTCGGCCGCCGATAATGCCTTCAATTTGCAGTTTAAAACATAAAACACGAACAGATAATTTAACAGTCAAATAGATATGCATGCATTTAAACTAACACACTCAATCAATTAGCTCAAAATTTCAATCAATTCAATTACTTATCATGATCAGTCTCAGTTTAGCAGTAATTAGTGGTGTTATCAGTAAACAGTAGTGAGGGTTGTCACATCTTGGTACTCTCCAAACTCATCATGTGGACTCTATTTTTGCCACTCCTCAGTACCGGCCATCATTTACCCAGCGGACCATTGCCTGACTCTATTGTCAGAATCGGGGCCTTCCTTCAACACATCTCCTGGTCAATTGCCCTGTCAGATCCTACCGATACTGCAACAAACTTGGTCCTGGTCATCTACAACTGGATTGTTTTTGCAATCCATCCCGATCATCCTCCACTAGCCATTTCTCTCGCGGTGGTTCTTCTCGGGGGAGCTCTCATCGTTCCGGGAATCAGTCTCATCACACTCCTACAGTTGCTGCTGCTGCTGCTACCTCTGAGGGTTTCTCTGAGTCACATGCTCCGTCTACCCCTCTATTTTCTCAAATAGATGTAGAGGCCATGTTCAAACACCTTCTCTTTCCTTCTGGTACACCTCCTCTTACTGCTTTGTCTGTGATCCCAGGTAACTTTTCTTGGTATTTTGACTCTGCTTGTTGTAATCATATGACCTCCAGTACTATATTTTCTTCCATCTCTTCATCTACTCATATTCCCTCAATTCATACTGCTGATGGTTCTCTCATGTCTGTCCGTTATATTGGTACTGTTTCCACATCTTCTTTATCTTTACCTCAAGTTTATCATATCCCTGCTCTCACCTAAACCTTATTTTTATTGGTCAATTATGTGAACCTGGTCTAATTGTCACATTTTCTGCTACTAATTGTTTGGTGCAGGACTCTCAGACAGGATAGACTATTAGGATCAGCCATAAGCACGAACGTCTCTATGAACTCATTTACCTTCATGTTCCTGACTCTCCTTAGATCGCTGCTCCTGCATCTGCTTCCTCATTACCTCATTTTTATCTTTGGCATTGTCGCTTAGGGCATATTTCTGTTAATCGCTTAAAGTCTTTGGTTTCTAGTGGACAATTAGGTCATGTAATTTCAGATAATTTCGATTGTATACCCTGTCAACTTGCCAAACAACCTGCTTTATCATTCAATAAAAGTATTTTTGTTTCCCATGCACCTTTTGATCTTATCCATTCGGACATTTGGGGCCCCTCCTCTACTACTACTATGGGGGAATCTCGTTATTTTGTTGTTTTTATTTATGATTTTTCCCAGTTTACTTGGTTTTTTCTCATGAAAACTCGGTCTGAACTTAAACACCTTTATTATAGATTTGGCCAAATGGTCCACACCCAATTTTCAAAAACCATCAAACTTTTTCGATATGACAATGCGATGGAATATCAGGATTCAGATTTCCTTTCTTTTCTTCAGAGTCATGGTACACTGCCTCATCGTTCCTGTGCTAGCACGTCCCAACAAAATGGCTGTGCTGAACGGAAACATAAGCATATTCTTGACACTACTCGCGCTCTCCTTCTCTCTTCTTCCTGCCCTGAAAACTTTTGGGGAGAAGCTGCCCTCACTGCTGTCTACACTATCAACTGTGCTCCTACACCTGTCATCCATAATCAAACTCCTTTTGAACGTCTGCATGGCACTCCCCCTCCGTACGCCAATCTCCGGGTTTTTGGCTCTGCCTGCTTTGTTCTACTTCAATCCCATGAACACACCAAGCTTGAACCTCGCTCTCGTCTTTGTTGCTTTCTTGGGTACGGCATTGAACATAAAGGCTTCCGCTGTTGGGATCCTCTCTCTAAACGTCTTCCTATCTCCTGACATGTCATTTTCTGGGAGCACAAAATGTTTTCCTCCCTATCCTCCTTTCACTTACCCACTTTCCACTATGTACTGTTTACTAATCCGTCACATAGATCTTCTCTTGATGATTTGACTACAAGTTCCTCATTCATCGAGATGCCCTTGTTCATTCTGCATTCCGTCCAGACTGTTCTCTTTGAAGGTCTACCTCTCATTGCACCACCTCATTCTCTCCGTTCTTTCTCCCACCGATCTCCTACGAGTCGACCCACACGGTTAACTCAACCTCTTATCCATCTTCGTGATTATATTGTTGGGTCTGCTATCTTTTCTACTTATGAACCTATCTCCTATCGTAAGGTTTGTACTAATCCTCTTTGGCAGCAAGCTATGACTGATGAACTCCAGGCCTTGGACAAAGCTCATACTTGGGATCTTGTTGATCTTCCTCCTGGCAAGACTGCCATTGGCTGCAAATGGGTTTACAAAATCAAGACTCATTCTGATGGCTCTCTTGAATGCTACAAAGCTCGTCTTGTTGCCAAGGGTTTCAACCAGGAATATGGTATTGATTATGAGGAGACTTTCTCCTCTGTTACTCGGCTTACATCTGTTCGCAGTTTACTTGTTGTTGTTGCCGCTCGCCACTGGGACCTCTTTCAAATGGATGTCAAAAATGCTTTCCTCAATGGTAATCTTCTTGAGGAGGTCTACATGCAACCTCCACCTGGGTTCACTTTTCCACCTCATAAGGTTTGCAAACTACAGTGTGCCCTCTATAGCCTCAAGCAAGCGCCCCGAGCTTGGTTTGCTAAGTTCAGTTTTACTATTCATGACTTCGGGTTCCCCTCTAGCTCCTATGACTCTGCTCTATTTATACGAACTACTCCACATGGTACCACTTTTCTCCTTCTGTATGTGGATGATATGATTATCACTGGTAATGATGCAGTTGGTATTCTCCACCTCAAACGCGTTCTCCACCGTCAGTTTGAGATGAAGGACCATGGTACTCTTAACTACTTCTTAGGCCTTGAAGTCTCTCATGATTCTACTGGTTCCTATTTGTCCCAGGCCAAATATGCATTCGATCTTCTGGTTCGTTCTGGTTTTACTGATTGCAAAACTACCTTTACTCCAGTTGATCCTCAGATTCGTCTCACTTCTCTTGATGGGGATCTCCTCTCTGATGCTACTATTTATCGCCAGCTCGTCGGAACTCTTTTCTATCTCACAGTGACTCGTCCTGACATTGCCTATGTTGTTTACATTGTCAGTCAGTACATGTCGACTCCTCGTACTCCCCACTATACTGCTTTACTCCGCATCCTTCGCTACCTCAAAGGCACTCTGTTCCACGGCCTTCACTACTCTGCTTCATCCTCTCTTGAACTGCGTGCATTTTCTGATGCTGATTGGGCTGGGGATCCTACGGATCGACGCTCCACCACGGGATTCTATTTCTTCTTAAGGGATTCTCTTCTTACTTGGCGTAGCAAAAAATAATCCCTCACTGCCGGCTCTAGTACCGAAGCTGAATACCGAGCTCTTGCTAATACTACTCAAGAACTTCTCTGGCTTCACTGGCTCCTTGTTGATATGAGTGTTTCTTCTTCTGGCCTTACCTCTCTCTATTGTGACAATCAGAGTGCCATTCAGATTGCTCACAATGATATTTTTCATGATCGCACCAAGCATATTGAGATTGATTGTCATTTCATTCGCCAGCATGTTACCCGTGGTACTATTCATTTTCTCCCTATTGCTTCTGCCGATCAACCTGCTGATATTTTGACCAAGACTCATCTTCCTGGGCACTTCAGTGATCTTGTTTCCAAACTCAACTTGGTGGATGCCTACTCTCCTTGAGTTTGCGGGGGTTGTTAATATATGCTGTTAGGAGTTGTTTAGGATATTCTAAATAAGTGAACTTTTAAACTTTTTGAACTAAAAAATTAAAAAAAAAAATAATTATTTGGGTTAACTTTTCAACTTTTTATGAAAAAATATATATTAAAAAATAATATAAATTAATGTGTAAAAAAAAATTAAGATTGAGAATTATACGACTCTTTATGAAAAAATATATATTAAAAAATTATATAAATTAATGTGTAGAAAAAAATTAAGATTGAGAATTATACAACCGTACTTTTTGACTTTTAATAAATAATGATAATTTTTTAACTTTTTAAATAATTTTTTAACTTTTAAAATTTTTTAAATACATGTCAAACTTGACCTTAATCTACAAGTTTGGCTAAACTAAAAAAGTACACTTATTTCATATTTTTATCTTTTTTAGATCACATCAATCAACATCTCCTCTCTACTTTTTTTTACACATAATATAAAAAAAATTAAAAAATACACTTATTTAATCTTCCCAAACTTAAAATGCTTGCTTTCGGTGCTGTAAAGGAAAGAATCCCACCTATACGCTGTAAAGAAATATACAGGGACCACACCACACACACCTTCTTCATTATGATGCTTTCGGTGCTCTTCTCTATAATTGAGAATCGTCACCATTGTAACCATTGTACAGCTGAATATACGTTCATTCAGTCTCTCTCTTTTTTTCTCTCTCTACCAGATTTACATTGGCCATGGACGTAATGACTCATTCTTCAAACTTCCTCTTACCTTCTCGTCCCACCGACAACGGACCCTCTCTATCTTACGCACTCGTCGTCCTCAACCAACCCCTCCCTCGATTCACTCCTCTCCTTTGGGAGCTCGGTACTCATTCTCACTCTCTCTCTCTCTAGGGTTTTGTTTTTTTGTTTTATGGTGGTGTTGTTTGTTGGCTCCTCTGTTTTGATTGTCTGATGGTGATTGTTGTGTACAGCACCACAACGTTGTATTTGCGCAGATGGTGGAGCTAATCGACTCTACGACGAATTACCTCGGCTTTTCCCTCGCGATAAACCCTCTGATGTTCGAAACAGGTTGCTATTTCTTCCTTTTTCCTCTCAATTGTTTTCAATTGTTTCTTGGTTTGATTGTTCAGAAAGTAGGAGTCGAAAGATTTTTATGGAAATTCAGAAATTTTGATCCTTGTGTCTCTCTGTAGTTTTGTTTTGATTATTTAGAATTTTTAATTTTTAATTTCTTTCGTCAGATGGCTAAAATCAATTGTTGATAGTTGTTTTACCTGCCAAATATTGGAATAAAAAGTCTGTCTGGCCTACCAAATATTGTTTGGCCCTCTCAATTGCTTATGGAAAATGCAATTTTTTTTTTTTTTTGGGTTGACATGCTTTAAAACCAATTCTTGATAGTTTACCCACCAAATATTGGAGTAAAAAGTTTGGCCCTTAAGTTGCAATTTCTCTTTCTATTATCTTCCTCTTCCCTCTTTTTCTTTTCTGTTTGTGTAATTCATGAGCAAAGAAAATTGGTTTTTGGAAATTTCATTGCGTGAAAACTTAAAATACTTTTAAGTTTGATCCCCAGATTTGCTTTTTAAAAATGGAGTTTCTCTTTCTAACTTTTTACATTTTTTTGTTTTTTTGTGCAAAAGCCTCACTTGTTTGTGAAGGAAATGTTAAAAGAAATAATGAGAAGAAAAGAATCTGAATTTTAGGCTCCGTTTGACGAGAGTTGAACGGGACTTTTTTGTTATTTTAATCACAAAAGATAAAATAGACTATTTTAATCATAAAAAATAAAATATCACATTCAACTTATAATCATTACATTCTTCTCTTTTAAAAAAAAAAAAAAACTTAAAAAAAGTTAAAAAGTAGTCAAAAAGTCTTTCCCAAACTAAACTTTTTAACCCAAGTTAAAATAGTTAAAAAAATTAAAAAAAAAAAAAAAAAAAATCCAAAAGTCAATCCATTTCCCAAACGGAGGCTTAGAGTCTTCACTATATTAGACCCTACCTTCATTTGACTTGGTTTATAAAAAAATGAGGTTTATTTTGTTTCTATCACATTCGGGCCTCGTTTGGCAATGGGGCGGTTTAGACAAAAAGTTAAAAAATTATTAAAAAAATCAAAAAATCAACAATCCATACTAAAAAGTCAAAGATTATCTTCTCTCTCTATTTTTTGCACATCTTTTCAAAAAAAGGTCAAAAAATTATCATAAACATACTAATTTTTTTTAACTCATATTTTAATCAAATAACTAAAAAGTTATTAAATTTGCCTGTTCTCAAACGAGACCCAGTCTGGACCATATAGAAAAAGACTTGAGGAGATGTGATTAAACACAGGATTTACAGGCTCTAAATTGGGGCAGAAAGGCTGAAAGTGACATGGTCACATGATAATATGGATGGAACAATTAACATCATGTTTGCACATGATAACATGGTAGTGAACAATTTCATTACAAAAAAAAAAAAAAAAGTGGTAGTGAATCTCGGACATCTTCCTCCAAACCCCAAATACAGCCCATCCCATAAAAAATTAGCTAAACCCTGTTGAATCTCCTTTTCCCTGTCAACATTCTAACCCCAACTTTAATTCTAGCAAATGAGGTTTTGATGCTGATGAACATTAGCTATCGTACTGAAAATGTATCTTCAGCCACAACCAGAGCAATTTTTTGCATCCTACTATTCACTTCCATTTTAGTTAAAGTGTTGTTATTAACACCCCATCAATTATTTTGGACGTCCCATTTCTTTAGACCTCCACTTATAAATTATAAAACCTTTAAAAATTCTCTTCTCTGTCCAAATTATATCAAAATTGTCGTTGTAAAAATATTTCACCCATTAAAATGCACACCCCTACACTCCCCCCCCCTCCCTCCTCCCAAAACACCCCAAAAAGGCTCTCTTCCAAAACTCTAACAAAACCCATGAAGGTGGAACTTTCCAAAACCAATGAAAAAATTGTGGTAATTAAGAAGTTTTTTCTCTACTTCGTTACGAGATTTGTCAATCTGTTTGATTTTTTTTTTTTTCTATTACTTCTTTTCACACACACAACATAATCTACTTTCATGCTTCTTTGGTTGGTTTTTTGTCATTCATCCATGGCACTGTAATTGTATGTTTTCTATGTGAGCAAAACTGGGCAGGCTTTCATCCACCAGTCGACCCCCTGGTCGACCACCCAAGGGTGGTCCGACCTTCTTTATTTGCCTGCTTCTGCTGCTGCTGCTGCTGCTTCAGTTATCTATTCCTAAACAAACAAACAGTATTCGGGCCATTATTTCCGTATTTTGGTCATATGTTCGGGAGTTCAGTTCTAAAAAAATGACGAACAGTTTTTATTATTTTTGTCATTTTTTTCAATAAACTTACCTTTACAAGGTCAATCTCCTCTGAGCTAAGAGCCCCATCAAAGTTATGAATCTCTTCTGAATTTTTATGGTTGTACTTCTCTTGTTTCATGGAGTTGTGATTGTCAGAAAAATTTTCATTCGTTGTTATTGTTGGAGAAGTGTATGTAATCAAATGGTTGCCACCGTTGTCGTTGGAATATTGCTGTCAAAGGATTTTTAAAGTTTTGAGGGTAGGTAGGTTTTGAAGGTGAGATTTGGGTAAGATTGGTGGATGGTAATAGAGGTGAATGCTTTCATAAATCCTAATTCATGATGTAGTGAATGTGTGGGCTTAATTATGAGATGATAAGTCTCAAAATTATTGATATCATTTTTATTAATTTCATTTGAGGTTATAATTTGCTTCGTTTGGGAAGCCCAACTTGGGACTTTTTTGGATATTTTAGTCACAAAAAACAAAATAGGTTTTTTAGCCAAATGAGACAAAACATCACATCCAATCTATAATCATTACATTCTTTCTCTTACAAAAAAATCAAAAACCCTTTCCAAACCAAAAACGCCAAAAAGTCAACTCACTTTCTAAACGAATCCATTGTAATAAAAAAAGTTAAAAAATGAGGGGTCTAAAATAATTGATAGGGTACTAATAACAGTACTCTTTAGTTATCCTTCCAAATTCCCCTTTTACCCTCTCCCTAAACTCTTTTTCTAAGTATGAAAGCAGTCTCACCTGCTCAACGTCTATAATCCAACAAATCTCCTTCAAAACTCTCGCTTTCGGAACTTCCAACCTCCCAAACTGTTCTTTGTTCCACCTCAAATCCTCCTCCACCAAATTAAATTTTTTTTTTTTTCTTAGTACGAACTTGGCATACCCTTCACAACATAATTGCTCCACCCCCCCCATATTTTCTCCTTGCACCACTCAATTTTCCTTTTTCCTTTTTTTGTCACACAGTATACATTAACAGGAGTTAGTGGGGTTAGATGTTAGTTGGGAAGGGGGAACAATAATAGTATTAACCCTCTCTCCATAGGAGAGGAACCCACAACCTCACACCAAAGTGGTGCTACACAATCACTTGGGCTGTTGCCAGTGGTTATCTTCTTGCAGTTACATGTTATCAAATTGAAAGAGACTCCACTGATGTCTACACAACATTATAGGGAAATGATCTGATACGGCTTTCATAAGAGAAAATTGAGCCATATTTGAAAAATGCTCTTGCACCACTTTAAAATTACCCTACCAAACACATTTATGTGGCATCCCATTTGTAAGCTATGGAAGACAACTCTTTCCAATACTCCTTGGCCTACTTTTCACCAGATCATACATTCTATAGAACACCACGAAAGACCATACATAATTGAGAGCACCAACATAAAATCGTCCTCTACAATTTTAAATATATCACACTAAAAAAAAATTCAACTTCATTTTCCATCCCCTCAAAGACCGTCTTGCCCCACATCACAGTCATACCTCTCTCCAATCCTCAAGCAAAGCTTTCACTACCTACCACCCTCTTATCCCCGACATTTAGGCCCCTCACATTCTGGCTAACCATTCTAATATTTATAGGGTCCGTTTGGGAAGAAAAAGCCCAGGCTTTTTTGGCTAAAATAGCCACAAAAAACAAAATAGGCTATTTTAGTCACAAAAAATAAAACTTCAAATCCAACCCATAATCATTACAATCTTCTCTCACAAAAAAAGCCAAAAAAGTCAAAAAGCCAAAAAGTCCTTCCCAAACCAGGCTAAAATAGCCAAAATAACCAAAAAGCCAAAAAGCCAACCCACTTCCCAAACGGAGGCATAGTCAATCAACAATTACTTCCTTCTCTATTCCTTTCTTTTTGGTTACTTAGGGGTGTTTGTTATGCGGGGTGGAAATCTCTTTGTTTAGAGGGACAGTTCATGTGGAAGGCTTTTGTTAGGAGTGTTGTGGTCAATTAATCAGAATGTAATCCAAGAATTTGTGGGGTCAGAGTTTGAGAGAGGTGGTTTTACCAGCAGTACAATGTCCATGGTCTTTGTGGTGCTTTTTTGTTGATGCATTCTTAGGGATTTCTCACATGACCCTTTTTTTTTCCACTTGTCAATTTGCTTCCGGGGGCTTCATTTTTGCTGTTTGTTACATTTATATTCATTATAATTATCGTCAGGTGGTTGTGTACAATGGATCTTTTTTTCAGTAATTGAATTGTAGAAAGATCATAAATAAATACAAAATACATGGGGCATTCTCCATGTATTATCTTGGTTCTCTGTTTGTCGTGTTTTCTGGTCCCTTGTTTTAAATGTTTCTTTTTGCAATACTAAGTAATGGGTTTTGTGCCAGGTACAAGCCAGATGTAATAAAGGGAGACATGGACTCCATTAGAACGGAAGTCCTAGATTTCTATAGAAACCTGGTAAGCTTGCCATATTCTTTTTGCACAACTAATTGGGGATATTTTTGTGGAAGTTTTCTATGCATGATCCTGGCATAGTTTTTTATTCTTAAAATACATTTCTTTATTTCTTTCATTTTTTTTTTCTTTCTGTGGAATTGTAATGTCCTCAATGTTTGAAAACTCAAAACTCTGGCGTGAATGAAAAGACTTGGCCAGTTGGCCTAGTTTCGATCATATCAAAAAAGTCAAAACTTGGTATAAAGCTTCAGTTTTTGACTCCAAGAATTGGTGGATATGACGGAACAGAAAAGTGAGGCAGATGATGCACTTCTTGACTTTAGTTTTCTTTTTTTTATTTTCTCATTTAGTCATAATGTTGTGGTTAATCAATTTTTTTAATGATTATGAGGAATGAAAGCATTGTTTACTTTTGTTGCACTGAGCAACATTTTGATAATTTCATAGAGCCATTGCAAAATTCTGAATTTAAATGACCTATGTATTCTTTTCTCTTTTCCTTAATGATTTCACATATGAACTTTTTGTGACAAACTGGTCAAGTATTTACACCCAGTTGGTAACTGAGTTAGCACAAAATGTAGAAGATAAAAATATATGACTCTCAACAGTAAAATGGCTTCATCTCAATGGTATGATTGTGCTGTTCCATATGAGTTGACGTAGCATCTTACCATTGACAGTCAAGTGCTGGTTGTACACATTTAATTTGATTTTGATGTTATTTTTGCTATTTGTATATGATTTGAGCTTGTTTGTGTTATTGTATGAGTTTCCTTTTTCATATTTGTCCTCATTGTTGTCCAATATGTATATATGCAATAGTAATGCTACTCTTACCACATGTTGTTCACCATCTAATGTGGGGCACCTACAATGGTTGGATATAAATGGCATTTACATGGAACCCATTACATTAATAATTGCTAGTGCGCCACATCAGATGATAGACAAAACATGGTAAAAAAATGTGGTCATCCTGACATTATTGTATATGCAATGCTTTATAACTACAAATCTCAGTATGTTGTCCTCAATTGAAAATAGGGGACCAAGATAGTGGATGAATCTCAAGATCAGGACACCACAGATCTCCATAAATGTGTAGCATTAATATGTGAGGACACACCAACCGTGGATAAATCTAATGTAAGTTGCACAACATGATCTTTCCAAAGTTTTTTTAGTGTATTGCTCTCATTTGTTTCAGCTTTAATTTTATTATTGCTCCTTGACCGTATTAATTTCTATTGAAAGTGGAATAAGTCAACTAACGTCGATTGGGAGCTGGAAAGTGAAAATTTGTTATACTAGCTACTAATGATTTTGTATTAAAATCACCCACCATGCTTACTTCGATTGCCACTTCAATTGGTTTTTATTCCTGTTTAAATTACAGTTATGCATTCTTGTGGCCGGAGCACTTGGTGGAAGATTTGACCACGAGGCCGGCAACATCAACGTTCTATGTTGTTTCTCAACCGTGCGAATAATTCTTTTATCTGATGATTGCCTCATCCAACTCCTTCCAAGGACTCACCGTCATGAGATCCAGATTCAGTCCTCCGTTGAGGGCCCGCATTGTGGACTTATCCCCATCGGGATGCGTTCTGGAAGCACTACAACCACTGGTCTCCAATGGGATCTCAGTAAGTATATCTTGCAATAACATTGCATCACTTTGTTTCTCTTTATTTTAATTTTTTTTTATATTGTTTATTCGTTTTTAATTTAAATCATTTCTGTTGCAGATGGTACAGAAATGAGATTTGGTGGTTTGGTAAGTACATCGAACGTTGTAAAAGAAAGGAAAATAACCGTGCAATCTGATTCAGATCTACTTTGGACAATATCAATTAAAAAACCCTAGAGATTATTGTTTTCAAGATGAAGCGTGCGATCTGCCGATGACACGGATTCTCCTAACCTACATTGCTGTGATCCCAACAAATTTGAAGAACTGAGGGAAACCTGAATAGGCAGTTCCTTATGTTCTTTTTCATCTTCCTTTTTTGTTTTTTTTTTAATTTACTTTTCTTTTTTTCTTTTTCAAATTTTATACCAGATTTAAATTTCCATTTGAAGCGGTCTGGTAGACTTAAAGCATTATATATATTACTGAATTAATAATGTTGTATTGTAAATACCTCTTTGATTCTCGAAGTTATTTTTACATTTCTATATATTTTTGCTGAATTAAGAGTTGATAATTCTCTTGAGAGCTGATTTCCATGGACACTGCTGTTGTTGAATGCTAGAACATGAAACTGGACTTGGGTTCTACCGGATTGTTCATCTGGATAAAGGACCTGATGGTGCAGCTTCGAAGATGATAATTAGAAAACATAAGTCAAAAGCATCTCTTTTCTGATTTTTAGATAATCAGTTTTTTTTTCAACTAATTTATGTCATTTTTGTCTAATAAGTTGAGCTAAAGCTGTATCAAAATGTCTGATTTAGACGTGTACAATAAAAATTATATAAACAGCTATGATAGATTGCACCAAACAATCTTTGAAGTCCTGGTCCAACATAGAAAATAGGCACCGAAGAAGTATGTGATCATATATAGAAAATATTTTAACATTTTATTTAATTAAACATCATCAAAATTGAAGTTATATTGCAGAAGAAATGTATATGTGAGTGTATATGAATAGAAAAATGATATATAAGTCCGCATTTTAAATTTATTTTATAAATTTAATGATGTGTAATGGTTGATAATTAAAAAATATATGAGATAAATTTATTGTCATATCATTAGATTTAAAAAGTCTAATTTTTAGATTCGTATGGATTGGCACCAAAAAAGTACGTAATTGAGGGCTTGATTTACGCAAAATATTTATTAAAAAGTGAGTAATGCTAAATTAATGTAAGTGGAAAATTATTTGCACTACTTAATAATTCATTAAACAATTTACAAAGTAATGCTAAATTAATGTAAGTGGAAAATAATTTATACTATTTAATAGTTCTCTTAAAAATATAGAAATTACAGAATAATGAAAACTAGGACAAATAATTACAACCAAAAAAAAAAAAATGGAGAATCAAAATTAGTTAAAAACATGTGGAATTGACACTTAAAATGATGAAAAGGCATCTCAATTTCCACATATTTATTTGGGAAGAATTTTTTTAACTTAATTTTTTAGTTTCTTAGTTAATTTAGCTTGGCTAAATAAATTCTGTTTGGAAAGAATTTTTTGGCATTTTTTATTTTTTTATTTTTTTGTAAAAGAAAAGTGAAACGATTATAATTTACATGTGACATTTTGTCTTATTGACTTATTTAGTCTTTTATTTTTTTGTATTTTTTTAGTCCAAATCTAAACCCAACTCACTTGCCAAACGAGAACATAATGGTTTCCTCTTCTTTCAAGCATTCTCTTATATCATTGTGAGTGCACTTCATTTTCCAACTCTAACTTTTGGTAGTGTCTGAAGTCTAGCGGCGGCGGCGGCGGCGACAGAGTTGGGTAGCTTCAATGGGGATGATGTTGACAGGAACGACAGACTTTCAAGCAAATCTTACTTTTCAGACCACATCTTTGAGAAGATCGGTAATTTTTCCTAAATCGTAACTAATTTTTTTGGCGAATTTGTTTTTCTGTTGTTTTTTTTTTTTTACTTTTTTTGTTTGATTTGGATGGCCCTTTAAGGTCTTGTTTATATATATTGTTGTTTATTAATATAAATATTTCCCATGTTCTAAAAAAAACAAATAAATAAATAAATTCTCATCTCTCTCTCTCTTCTTATTTATTAAGAAAAAAAAAAACATATTCATACAAAAAGTAAATTATATGATTCTTAAAATTAAAAAAAAAATATAGAAAGTTGCATAATTTTAATATAATTACATTAAATTTCTTAATATTTAAATTTATATAACATTTAGATAGTATTTGGTTCATTAAAATGAAACGAAACGAAATGATTATTCTAACAAAATATTCATTCTTGTGTTTGGTTAACTAACAAAAACAATAAAAAATACATTATAAATATAACATCATGCACCAATATAATGAAATGATCATTCCGTAAGGGAGCTTGATGGATGGCCATTCCATTTTATTCCAATAAATCAAATTGAAAATAAGTACCATTTTTATCAATAATTTATTAGTCATGTGAATAGAAAATTAATTTTATTTCTTTTAGACTAAATGTATATCTTTCCTTATTTATTTGGTATTCACACTATTTACATTAGTTTTGACTAGTCTAGTCTTACTAAAATAATTCAATGTAATTATGTCAAAATTATGAACTTCTAAACTAAGGGAAGGTAATTACAATTTACGGTACAAAAAAAATGGTAAATTACATTAACTTTGTTTGGGATTTGAAGAAAACATAACAAATCTCACATTTTTAATATAATTACACTAATCTTCTTTTTATAGTAAGGTTAAATAGACTAAAATTAATATAAAATTTGAAGAGACAAAGATATATTAAATAAAATATACATTTGAACATAAAAGAGATGCAATATCAAACTATAAACTTATCACCTGGGAAACAAGAAAAAAAAAGTACTGCTATTAAATTTAAAAAATTTTTTTTTTTGATAAAAATAGAGATAGAACTTAGGTAAAACTTGTGAGCCTTATATATATATATACATATATATTTTGTAAAAGTAATATTAGATACCCACACATTCATACTAATAAATTCAGGATATGACATGAGAGTTGTATCTATAATTATTAAACATGTAATAAATTAAAAGTTAACACATATCTTACTATGGATACTTTTTCGAGTCTCAATCATTTTTATATTTTAATTGTCAACGAGTCCAATTTATGGAAGAAAAAATAAAATGGTACTTCTAACATCCATACTCTTGAAAGGCTACACCAAATGCACTATTAATTATATTTTTTTTTAGTTGTGATTAATTTTTTACTTTAATTATATCTTATATTATATTTAATTATAATATATTTTTTTAAAATTATAATTTTTTATAGGGTAAATTACACTGACATCCACTGAGGTTTATGTTTATTACAATTCTCCTCATCACTTTTTGGAAATTACATCTTCCCCCTGAGATTTAAAGTTTCATTACAGATTTTCTCTTGAGCAATTTAATTTTTTTAAATACCAATTTTGCCCTCATTAGGTAAATTACATTGACACCCCTCACATTTTAGAAATTACAATCCCCTCTTTAAGATTTAAAGTAGCATTACTAATTGCCCCCTCGGTTAGTATTAGTTGGAAAAAAAATTAATTGAAACAAAATTTTGTTAGTAAATTTTTTTAATTTTTGTTTTAAAAACAACGTAAATTCATTTTTTGAATTTCCGTTTTTTTTTTTTCAAATTTACAAACTGAAACAACTATTTATAAACCAAAAAAATTATCAAACAAGTTTTTATGACAGTTTTTAAAACTTTTGTAAATATAAATTGAAAATTGAAAACGAAATGGTTACTAAACAGGCCTTAGATGGTAAAAATGTCGTAAAATTAACAAACAATTAAATAAGTTACCAACGTAAGAAATGACTTATCAAAAGATTCTTAGGCTATGCATGATTTGATTTTTAGAAAAAAATTTTAAAAATTAAAAATTAATTTGGTTAAGAAATAAAAAATAATTATCATTTAAGGGTAAAAAATAATTATCATTTTAACTTTTGGGCAGGTTATATACATATGTATGGCTGTTTCAATTTAATTTGTAAAAAATTATTTCTAACCACTCGAAAAATAAAAATTATATAAAAATGATAATTATTTTTTATTTCTTAACCAAATTAATTTTTAATTTTTAAAAAAAAATTCTAAAAATCAAAGAATACATAATCTAAGAATTTTTTGATAAGTCATTTCTTACGTTGGTAACTTATTTAATTATTTGTTAATTTTATAACGTTTTTACCATCTGAAGCCTATTTGGTAATCATTTCGTTTTTAGTTTTTAGTTTTCAATTTTCAATTTATATTTCCAAAAATTTAAAAAACTGTTATAAAAACTTGTTTGATAATTTTTTTGGTTTATAAATAGTTGTTTTAGTATATAAATTTGAGAAAAAAACGTAAATTCAAAAAATGAGCTTACGTTGATTTTTAAACAGAAATTAAAAAATTTTACTAACAAATTTTTTTTTTCAATTATTATTTCGTTTTCAATTAATTTTTTTTCCAACTAATACTAACCGATGGGGCAATTGGTAATGCTATTTTAAACTTTAGGGAGGGGATTGTAATTTCTAAAATGTGAGGGGTGTCAATGTAATTTATCTAGTGAGGGCAAAATTAATATTTAAAAAAATTAAATTACTGAAGAGAGAATCTATAATGAAACTTTAAATCTCAGAAAAAATATAATTTTCAAAAAATAAAAAAGAAACAGTAATAAATATAAACCTCGGGTGTCAGTGTAATTTACCCTTTTTTTATAATTATAAGCTGCAAAAAGCCCGTAGCGCTCCTCTTTTATAGTTGCCTTGACTGGGCACGAAATTGAAAATAGTTCAGACCTGAGAGAGTCAGAGAGAGAGATCTTCTGCTACGCGGCTACCCTTGCCGACCCCGAGATCTCCACGCCGGTGAGTCCCTATTCTTTCTTCGTTTTTAGGGTTTTAATTTTCACGATTTAATTCATGCCAGTCCCATTATGTTCATTATTCACTGTTCATCTCATATAATCTGTATATATATTGACGAATGTGCGTGTTGTTCACAATAGATTTTTTTCTTTGAATCTGCTAGGTTTTGCGTTCTGTGCCCTGGAATATGGTATTTCACTCTACGAACTATGTCTTTTTTTTAGGGTTTTTTTTAATTGATTTTTTACTTTAGATTGTTTGCACTTATTATTCAATTTTTAATTGGTGTTCAGCTTCCGCTTTCTCTACTCAAGACCGCTCAAGGTCACCCTATGGTAAGATCATCTCTGTTCTTGCTCTTTTCTATTTACTCTACTTCTGCTTGGGTTCTGTTTGCTTCCATTGAAAATACTTGAGAAAATTTATAACCAAGTCCTTAATTAATAGCCCTATCAACATTGTGTTTAGTGTTAATAGGATGCAATGAAAATTGTATGGAAAAAGTAGAACTTATTATATCTCTTCCCCAAAATCGCAAATCTGTTTCACTGTTAATCTTTGAGCTAGTGCAACCCTCATGTTTAGTTTCCACCCTGAATGGACTACCGGTGATAAGCTGGAGCAATGCTTGAAAACCCAGACTGGACCGGCTGGCCGGACCGGTCGAACCGGTGACCAGATGACCCTCCAAACCCAGACTATGCTCAAAATTGGCTTAGAATTTGAAAATCGGAATAACCGGCGAAATAGTCACAGATCGACGGAACTGACCGTTTGAAGAATTGAAGTTTTTGGAGAAGGTTTGAATATGGAATCAAGTGCATAAAAAATAAGCACTCTAACCACTAAGTCATCAACGCTATTGGTGACAATGTAATAAGTATATATATTATATATTCAATATTATCTTAATTATTTTTACTAAAAATAAATGTATAAAAAACAATTTTAAGAAATATATATATATTTTTGTAATTGTTTATTATTATTATTATTTTTTTTTTGTAATTTTGATATCTATATTTTTTATACTTATAAATTGTAATATATTTATGACATAATTATGACATTACGGTTCAATTCTGGTTCACCCACAGTTGAACCAGTGACTTGTTCGCCTGGTTACTTTTTTGGTTCGCTCACCAATCTGATTTCCAAAACATTGAGCTAGACGAAGGTGAGGATGATGGACGTAGTCATCATGTCCCTTTTGCCTTGGGCTGGACAGGTATTACAATGGACTGGAAAATTTATTTTTATCTCATCACTTTGCCTCAAAAGTGGCCATGTTTGGTGTCTTTTTAGAAAAAGTTCTCACAATATTTTTGAAAAAATGGAAACTAATTGGGGAAAATACAAATCAATGGGACTTGGAAAAAATTATTACAAATCAATGGTGAACTTTATAAATATTAATAATTAAAATCTTAAATTTTTTCATCAATTTGTAATATTTTTTTCAAACTCCCACTCATTTATTTTTCCCAAACTAGTTTGAAAAATAAATATAAAAATGTAATTTAAAATTTTAAAAATTATTTTTGGCCTCTCAAAAAATAAAATTATATAAAAATGATTAAGTGCTTTTTGATTTTTTTTATTTATTTCACCAAATTATTTTTTAAATTTTAAAAAAAAAAATCTGAAACAAGTTTTATAAAACCAAACCAAACCGAGCAAGATCCTTCCATGTGCTTCCTTTTTTTTTTTTGTTTTTTTTTTTTCAAAAAGATTGATTGGAAATATTTATTTTGATACAAACATGTACTTGAAATTTTTTTATAGTATGATTGATGTCTCACTTTCTCTTCCTAGTTGCAATATTGTAAATATTTATGTTATTAGTGTTTGTGTGTGTTGTGACAGTTGGTGGAGCTGAAAAATGGGGAGACATATAATGGGCATTTGGTTAACTGTGATACTTGGATGAATATACATCTCCGTGAAGTCATCTGTACATCTAAGGTCTTTATCCTTTAATTCTATTTAGTTCTTTTGTTCTTCATCATCTACTATCATTGTTTTGTATGGATAAATACATATATACCCGTGTATACATATATATGACATTGCTTTCCTTTTTAAATTCATGATGGGTGTCATTGGAATTCACAATTTAGGATGGAGATCGATTTTGGCGAATGCCTGAATGCTATATACGCGGAAATACAATCAAGTATCTTCGAGTTCCTGATGAGGTATGCTGATTAGTTTTTGAATTGTCTGCAAATATTCAAGCTACAAACCCTTGCTTTATATCCTATTATCTTTCTTCACATTGGTGAATACATCTTTAATGGTTTGAGCATTTCGATGTGGATATTATTTTACCCCAACAATTTAATTTGTTATTAATTCGTGATATATTTTGTCTTAATTTGTGGAAGATGTTGCCTTTGTTTTAATTTGTTTTGTTCACCTGGCAGATTTTTTGATTTAATTTTGTCTGTGTGTGTTTGTGTGTGCATAGATGTGTTCTTCTGGAGAATATGTTGAGTGGGAGTTAACAAACCATAGGATGTCAATCTTTTTCTATGTGTTTTAGTTTTGAATCCTGAGAATCTGAAAATATTGTGGTGCTTAAAATGTCAAGTTGATGTGGATCTGGACAGATGTGATTTTATGAATTCAGGCATATTGTGTTTTCTAAATGGAGTAGAATGAGCCAAGTTTAAAATGAACTCCTGTTTCCCACTCAGCGACATAAGTATGTGAGAGTGAGAAATCTTAATCAACATTTTGCATATGCACATAGGGTACTTAAGGAAATTAAAATAAAGGCATTTTGATGTACTGTTTGGCTAGGGTGGTGTGGGGCGGGTAGGATTCCCTATGCTGAATACTTTACCTGACCTGACTCAGGTTTACCCTTCTTCTCAAACCTTTCTCCACCCAATAGGTTCTCCCCAAGCCCATATCAATAGAGGCAGAGCATGGAGGGTTTTTGGCACATCCCCAAGTTCATGTTATTATTGCTAAGTACAAGTCAATTTATTTTTGTTACGTGTGCATGTATTCTTTCTATAACTTGTTTGGCTGATGGACAGCAAAATAAAATCAGCTAGTTAAAGCTTAGGTCATCTTTGGCTTGTGAGAAGCTCATTGAGCTGTGTTAGCATCTCTTGCAATGGCATTTTCTGTTTTATTTAATTTTAAATCTCTAGAGTGATGATGCCCCTCCCTGTCAAAAGAAGAGACGGTTATGTTTTTTTCAGGTCACTTTAAAATTGACCTGTATTTTACTTTTTTACTTTTCGTAAATAATATTTTTAATAGTGGCTAAAATCTGGTTCAATCCTGTACTCTCCTATGACATTGTTTCCTGCAAATGCCTCAACCAATAGAGTCCTAAAATGGTGTGAAAACTCACAGGCACTTCATAACCACCCATATAAGTAGTCATTTTCTACAGGTGGAACAGGTCAAGTTGACCTTGAAGCTTATTGAACCTGCCAAACCAAGTTTGAGCACATCTCCTGATCCATTCTCAGTTTTTGAGTCTTTTCGTATTATTCCTTTGTTATGAAGTTATGTTTCAAGGACTGGTTGGTATGCTGTATTGTTCAGCTGGATGGCACTTGGCAAATGACTATGATTCAACTAGGAGTTCACTGAATTTCTCTTCTTTTACCTAAAGAGAAGAAGGGGCTGCACATTAGTGCTGGCATTCAATCCTGCTGATAGCAGAAAGACCTTTGTTATTCCCTCTCCTGTGGTGTGTGGTAGGTGTTTTGGATAGAGACAAGATAGGATAATGTAGCTGATACTGTAACTGGTGGCTGATGCATGCAAATTGCAATGATACTCTATTGTTTTATATTGTGGAAAACCATGAAACTTATTGGATGAATATGTAATTTTTTTGGTACAAGATCTGAGAATCTCTTTTAATTTTGGTGTACTATCCAATACTGTTGTATTTGCTTCCCATGAAGGCATTTGCTTGATTGTCATAATTTATTATCGTTTTGGCGTGCTCCTCTTAGTCTTAACTGTAGCTATCTCCATTTTATTGTTATCCATTTTAAATGTTTGAATTGACCTAATGCGTTGTTATTCGTCGGTTTTCTAGGTTATTGATAAAGTTCAAGAGGA